TCGGAAGAAATACCATAGAGTCATTAGTCCAGGCACTTGGCCTGCATTATCTATGGAGCCTCACAAAGACCCTCTAGGCAGGAGCAGCTCATTTACAGGCCCAGGGATGGGAAGCTTCTCGCCCATCATGGGGTAGGGGAGGGTCGAACCCAGAGCTGGGGCTGACGGCAGCGGGGCTTGTGGGGGGTGCCTGGGGAGGCTCCAGGTGACTCTCAGTGTTGGGGAGCTAACACTCCAGGAACCGACTGACACTCTCACCCACCCATGCCCCCAGCATTTCCTAATGTGCAGGAAATCAATACTTGAGGGCTTGCACCTGACTGCAAATTCTCTTCTGTCCCTAGGATTATCTAAAAAGCACTGTCCCATAGGAATACAATGCCAGGCACATTTGTAATTTGAAGTTTGCTAGTAGCCAAAATTTAAAAAGTAGAAAGAAACAGGTGAAATTTATTTTAATAACATATTTTATACAACGCAATATATTCAAGTTGCCATTTCAGCATGTAATCAATAGAAACAGTTATTAAAGAGATATTTTACATTCTCTCCTGTGCTTAGTCTTCACAATCCCACGTGTATTTTACACTCACTGGCCATCTCTATTTGGAAGCTAATTTTTTAACAAAATGAAATGTACTCTTACCAAAATAATAAAGCTGTGTTTGATGGGGAAAAAACATTGTACACTGCTTCAGTTTTTAAATTTAGTCGAATTCATTAAATTAAAATTAAAAACTCAGGTGCTCAGTCACATTAGCCGTACTGGCCACATTTCAAGTTCTCAGCAGCCACATGGCCACTGCATTGGACATGCAGATTCTAGAAGATGGGAAACTCAGTCCCGCCTCTGGATCTGACCTTGGAGGGGGAGCATCACAGGAGACAGGAGAACTGAGACTCCCATGTTCCCTGAAACCAGGGGGACCTTGGGCTCAAGAGGCCTGGCCTGACACCCAGTTGGCCACCCTTGCTGTGATTTTAGGAGACCTTCAGAGGCTTTTCTGCCTTCATCACTGGAATTCCGTCATCCTATGACCACAACACTTCTGAGCACCTCCCATGTGCTGGGCACCGTCCTATGGGCTTTGCGTGTTCTTAATTTATTTAATGCCGTAGACACTGTTACCCTCCTCGTTTTATAGATGAGGAAACTGAGACACAGGAAAGTTAAGTAACCCAAGCAACCTAGGTGCAGGTGCTTTTAACCACCCCATTTTACAGCCTCAAAAAGAGTTTGATTTGTATTGGTTTGCAAGAGTCCTTTATTAAAGTTAAAAATGAACCGGGAAGAATAACACTTAACCGTCAACACTTGGGGTGTGGAAAGATGCCATTCTGGAAAATGCTCCATCGTTTTCAGGGCACTTTCTCACTTTACCCTCACACCCATCCTGTGTGTTACATGTGATGGATGAGGCAAAAATCACTTGCCTGTAGCCCCCCCGCTAAGAGGAGGCAGAGCTGGGCCTCGTCCCAGGTCAGTCGCTTGGACTTCATAAGTCAGCTGGCTGAGCGCAGGGCCCAGGACCAAGAGGCCAGGGAGGTGATTCTGCTATTAGGGGAGTGGTGGGGGCAGGCAGCAAGGTGAACCTCCTCATGGCTTCATCTTGGCCTTCAGAGGCCATTCCGCTGAAGCCCAGGAGGGGGCAGCATCTCCCTAGCGCAGAAAGCATCAGGAAGCTGCCAAGGTAGTGAAAACTTCAGCCCTACTGGCAAAAGTTCTCCTTCTGGCAAAAGTGGCTGGGCTGAAAAGCGGAAGTCGAGGGTGGTGGCCTGGTTTATCCAGCGCATTGCTGCAGAGCCCAGGTGGCTCTGCCTGCAGCCTGAATATTCAGGGATGGGGTCAATAGGCTGTAGGCATCAGCCACGCTGGGAAGGGGATTGGATGAGGGGTCAGGGCTGACCACACATCCTTCAAGCCCCATCTCATCCACCACTGTCCACCCGAAGTGTTCCCTCCACTCCCTACACTGCGGACTTGCCTGGCCCAGGTGGGCCCCTACCTGGTCACAATGCAGTGTCTTGGGTGCTTGTTTCCCTCCGTTTGTCCTTCCTGGCTCCGCTGGGCTGTGAGCTCCGTGGAGCAGAGCCCAGGCTGCTGCCTTCACTTTGCAGTTGTTGCCAACCCTTGCGCCATTCGGTTCTGTTGACTGCTTGAATAGGTGACCTTGGCCCTGTCTGTTTCCTTCAGGGCTTGGCTACAACGAGGAGCAGATTCACAAGCTGGATAAGTGAGTGCCTGTCCCCCTGGCAGGCGGGTGAGCAGGAGGGTGGGTGTCACCAGGGCAGAGCGAGTCTCTGTGCCAGACAAGAGGTGGTAAAGGGCCCTGATCCCAGGCCACAGCTGGGCAGGAGGCAAAGGGGCTAATTACCTCTGGGGAAGGTTATCTGGGGCCAGGGGAGGGCGGTTTCTCAGCAGCAGTCTTGATGGACCTGGATTGACTTCTGGTATGAGCACGATTGTTTGAAGGATTTCTTTCCTTAGTTGTCCTCGCTGACTTACCACCTACTACTTCCTGCTTCTGGCCTCTGCCTGGTCTCTCCTTTGGGCTTCGCTCTGCTCCTCTGTCTCCTGGACACTCTATTCTTCCAGGAAGTCCTCCATGATTTTATGCTTTTTTGGGACTCACTCCCCCAGTTCTGCCCCTACCCCTGACTACACACACACACACACACACACACACACACACACACACACACACACACACACGACCATCTCTCCTCTCTGGGGGCTGAGCTCAAAATCGTGTGTGTTCCCTGAGGTCCATTGTCCTTCTCTCACATCCCTATGTTGGAGTTGCTTTGTACCAGCCACTCTGCTGCCATGATGCACATTAAGTGGGATAGGTGCCTTGGGAGAGGCGGCCCTGCTGTGGAGCCAGGGGCTGGACATTTGGGTGATGAAGACCCAGGGATGCTAGGTTTGTGCACAGGTGGCTCTGGCTTCTCATCTCTGTGCCTCTGTTTCTGTCTTTTCAGGGTGAATTTTAGTCATTTAGCCAAAAGGCTTCTGCAGGTGTTCCAGGAGGAGCGTGTGCAGAAGTACCAGGCATCCCTGGTCACGCATGGCAAGAGAATGAGGTAACATTGGCCCTCACTCTTGAACTCATGGTCCCCAGGGCCCTCCTGGCCTGGCCCTTCCTGGCTTCAGACAGCCCTGGGCTTTGCAGAGCCCCGACTGAGAGGGAGGTGGTAGTAAAGGAACAAAAGCAAAAAAAAACAAAAAACAAAAAAAACGGGGGTGGTTTTTTGGTCCTGGGTGGACCAGGTAGTATGCTGGGTGATTTCTATACATTAACTCATTTAATGCCGCCATGTCTACCCTATGCAGTGGATACTATCACCCCATTTCACAGATGAGGAAACTGAGGCTCAGAGAACAGGTTGCTTCCTTAATACGACACCGCTAGTAAATAGCAGACCCAGGACTAGCATATGGGTATGACTGCCTCTAAAATCTAGATTCTTTCCATGTCCCAGGTGGTTGTGTTCAGAAGCCCCCTCTCTGGGGAAAACACAAGATTCCTCTGGGATGAGGACAAGTGGTCTGGGAAGCAGGGGCAGGCAGAGGCCCTTATATAGAACCCCCCTTGCACACTGTCCCTTATAGGAGTTTTGGCTTCTGCCTCACAGACAAGCGCCTTTCCCCTTCCCCTCCTGAGACAAGAGGACAGTTTCCCAGGTGCTGCTGGTTCTGTGGCCCACGTGACCTGTGGGCTTATTATGGGGCTGAGACTCAGACACTCACCTACCCTTACATTAAAATACCGTTTCCATCTCCCCCCCCCAAGCCACCCCAAATTCTGACTTAATTGGTCTGGAATAGGGCTTGGATGGCAGTATTTAAATGTTCCTCGGGTGATGCTAATGTGTAACCAGAGTTGAGAATCGACCACTGGTCGAACCCCTCCAGGACTTGGTGTATGTTTTGTGCCATGGGGCGATGTTCTTCCTCTCTCCCTCCACTTAGAGAGAGAAGAGAATTCATAACAGAGTCTTGACTTTGATCTGCTCTGGAAATGGGAACATGGGCAGTTCCCGTTTTAAGTGTCCCAGTGCAGGCGTTCCCTGCCTCTCCAGAGCCTGACCCGGGCCCTTGCTCACCCTCGCCGGCTTGTGTGGCCCGGCCTGAGACAGGTGTATTTGCAGCTCCCACTGTGGTTCCGCCAGGACCCTCACTAGCCCCGGTCAGAGTGCTCATCAGCATCCTTACCTGGGACAGGTGAGGGCTGAGGGCACAGTTGGAAGGGCAGAGGCATTGAGGGAGGCCAGTGCCTGGCACCCACCAGCTCCAGCCTCTGCCACCTGGAAAGCCTCTCCTCCATGTCTGTGTGGTGACCGAACTGCTGGGTGGGCCCCGGTGAGAGTGAGTGGGCCGGGCTCTGACGTTTCTCTGCTCTCTTGAGGGTGGTGCATGAGACCAGGAACCACCTGCGCCTGGTGGGCTGCTCCGTGGCCGCCTGTAACACAGAAGCCCAGGGAGCCCAGGAGAGCCTCAGCAAGGTGGGGAGCTTTGGGGCCCCGGGGGCTGCTGAGGAGAACTGGACCAATCGGGCACCTGGAGGGCATCCAGGCCATTCCCCTGCTTTGGGGGCAGAGCTGCCCTTGACCAAGTCCAAACACTTTGGTGTGGATGGGAGGTCTCTGATCCACCAGTGTGGATGGCAGTTCCTAGTGTTCTCAGACTGAAGGCCACTCGCTGCAAGGGCAGAGGCTCCAAAATGCTGAGACATCTCCCTCTCTGCCCTGTGCAGCCTGGGAGGCTCCCTGAGGTGGGCAATATGAATGCTCCTTGTCTTCTGATCTGCTCTCCTAGAAGAGACCAACTCAGGCCGCTCTGAGAAGCCACTTGCTTTGTCATCAGGGACAGAGAAGGGCTGTCCTTCAAGGAGCAAGGCCCACATGCTCTTCCCCAGCCCCCAGCACAGGGCACATTCTTTCCGAGATGGTGCTGGGCTGCCCCCACCCCTGCTCTGCAGCTCCTGGCTCCAACTGTGTCATGACAGGTGCAGGTCAGACACAAAGGGGAGCTTGGCAGCCTGCACCCCTAAACACAAGCTCACACAGTGATGGTGCTTGTGCCAGCTGTGCTCCCAGGATGAGAAGGAGGGGCTTGTGGGAAATTCCTGACACTCCAGGGATGCGGGCTGGGGGCCATTGTATCACGCATTTCTTACCCCTCCCCACACCTCCGCTGCCCTCCACACATGAGCTGGCTTATCCCTTCTGACTAAACGTGTGGTTCTTTCAGATCCTTGACTGGCTATCTCACCAGCTCCTGCAAGACAGAACAAAGGGGGCTCAGGCCTCACCACCCACTACAGCTCCTTATCCTAGCCCTGCACTAAAGGACCTCGTTCTCCAGTAAGTGCCAGAGAGAGGGGTGTGTGTGTGTGTGTGTGTGTGTGTGTGTGTGTGTGTGTGTGTGTGTGTGTGTGTGTGTGTGTGTGTGTGTGTGTGTGTGTGTGTGTGTGTGTGTGTGTGTGTGTGTGTGTGTGTGTGTGTGTGTGTGTGTGTGTGTGTGTGTGTGTGTGTGTGTGTGTGTGTGTGTGTGTGTGTGTGTGTGTGTGTGTGTGTGTGTGTGTGTGTGTGTGTGTGTGTGTGTGTGTGTGTGTGTGTGTGTGTGTGTGTGTGTGTGTGTGTGTGTGTGTGTGTGTGTGTGTGTGTGTGTGTGTGTGTGTGTGTGTGTGTGTGTGTGTGTGTGTGTGTGTGTGTGTGTGTGTGTGTGTGTGTGTGTGTGTGTGTGTGTGTGTTAGGGGCTTCACCTCTTGCCAGGCCTGGGAGGCAGGAATGAGGCTCGGTGGGGCTGTGGAGGAAGGGGGGACTCCCAGGGAGGGGTCTGGGCAGAGCGACTTGGTCCTTAGCCACCGCCGCCTCTCTCGCCTCTGCCTTGAACAGCATGCAAGAGCTCTGCAAGGAGATGAAGGTGCTGGCGTCTGACCTCCAGGACAACAACCGCGTCATTGAAGGGTGAGACCCCGCTGTGCGGGCAGTGGGGAGGCTGGGCCCTCAGACTGCCCTCACCCCTGGGGCACAGGCCCCGTGCATGCCCAAGCAGGCTTGATGACGGGGGCCCATATTCCAGTCACATCAGAGCCTTGTGCACAGGTGAGTCAATGTCCTCACCAGGTGTAGGCTTTCACCGTAGTCTGGAGGATATGAGCCTTGGTGCAGTCAGAGATGGGGTCTGGAAGGCATGTGGATTTGCGGCTGTGTCCAGCTCTCTGTGAACATGGACTCTGCCTCACGCCCCATGCAAACCGGCTCCTGTCACCTTTACGACCATCCTCAGAATGGTGATGAACCAGGAAACGCAGCACAGAGCTGGGGAGAACTGCGCGGGGCTGCAGGCCCAGTGTTAGAGACTTTGCATCATCACCTGATCGAGTCCCTTCCTTGCGGGGCAGGGGGGAGTGGGCAGGTACTGGGGAAGATGCTGGCGGATGCAGCAGGGCTCAGCCTTTTGGATTTTGTACACCAGTAAAATTCACAAAAGAAAACTGGAAAATAACAGAGTGACCAACTTCTCATATTACCAAGTAAGCAGAATTGAAAGGGAAAAACCGTGCCATCTAGAAGTCCCCCTTTATAAGGTGCATTTTAACACCAAAGAGAAGGAAGAATGCAATCTCAGAATCAAGGATGGTCCTCGCCCTGAAAGCCAGCCCTGTTTACACATATATACGCTCACACGTGCGTGCACGCACCTCCCACATCCTCCCCATCATCCTTATGTCTGTCACTTCCCCGTTTGGGACCCAGCGGCACGGTGGAAAGAGTCTGCAGAGATTCCAACAGGGTTTGACCCTGACTCTGCTTCTTACAAACTGTGTGACCCTGGGAGGTTTGTTTGGCTCTGAGCCGAAAAATAGGCATAGTGATTCCTACCTCATAGTGTTAATGCAGGGATTAAACAGGATGAGATATGCGATGTGCTGGGGCAGGGAGGGTGCACAGAAGGGGGACCCACCAAATGGTAGGTGTTCCCCAGAGGTCACTCCAGTCTGGGGTGCCAGAATTGGGGCCAGGAGGTAGGGAAGCCAGGAGCAGAGCTCATGGTTGTTCCTAGAGTTTCAGAGGGTCCTTGGGTTGAGGACATCCCATGTTCCATTCCAGCAAGGGGAGAACCCATCCTCTTAAATGTCTGCAAAGAGGAAATTTGACAGCTTCTTAGAAAAACTTTCCAAATTAGCCCTCAGGGGCAGGAAGTTATAATTTTAGTGCTGACATAAATTTTTCTCGCTATGATATGTAGTCTATTTACAGATAGCTCAAATTTTTATTTTAGTGAATTTTTACTTCCTTGTTCAGAGCTGTAACCAAAGAGCCTAAAGAAACAATTTGAATTCCTTTTCCCCTCCTCTTAACCCTTGGCTGAGTTGGAGTCACCAAGGGATCTTTTAAAAGTACAGATGCCTAGGTCTTGTCCCCAGAGACTCTAGGTGCGGCTTGGATTTGGGGATTTTTATAAGCTTTCCAGATGATTCTAACCTGTAGTCAGGGATGGGAACCAGAGAGTTCCTGTCGGTGGACACAGATGCTACAAGAGGAGAGCTGAGGATTCAAATAGCTTGGTGTTCTGAAAGTTGATTGTGTTGGGCCCTGGAGTATGGTCTGCAGGCTTCTCTACCTGGGCAGAAGTTAACCTGAGCCTCTCTTTACAGGTTAAGTAGGGTCCCATCGGCTCCTGACATCTGAACTCTGGGGGGTGCATGAGGAATCCTGAAGCATTAGAATCGTTCAGATACTGCTCTCCCGCCTGCACTGGGGGACCCAACACAGGACGATACCTGGTCATATCTCATCAGCCTACCTCTCTCCTGCCTGACGGCCAGGAGATTTTGCCAGCATTACCTTCCACTGCCTTTCTTCGGGAAGCAGAACAGCAGGACCTGGGGCACCAGGCCATCTCTGGATTCTGGCCCCACTGCCCAGGCTGACCTTTGAATCTTACGTGGACTCAGGTACAGCTCCTCTGTTGCCCTGGCCTGTATAGCTGAACCTGTCTGGGCTGTGGGGAGAAGAGGCTCCGAAAGCCCCTCCCTCCCACCCCTTCTGGTTTACAGGGCTTTGCTCCTCAGGGAACAGAAGAGGAGGCCTCCTGGGGCCAAACGACCTCATCTCGGTCTTCCTTCCTCTTAAGGTGTTCTACATTGAACACACAGCCCTCTCCCTGCTCCCACGATGTCTGAGGGTTACCACACGTGGCCCCAGGCATGACAGAGCCCAAGTTCCCTTCTCTTCTGGTCTGGCTGAGCCTAAGGCTGAGAAAGCAGGTGGTCGAGGCCGGATGCCAGTGTCTCGGGGACCCTTTCCCCTGTCCCTCTGAGGCACCACCAGGTTCTGGGGTTTGGAGCCAGCGGTGTCAACAGTAGCCGTGCCAATTAGCACAGGCCCGTAAGTGCAGAGCCCTGAGGAAATCAAGGCGCACCTTCAAGAAGTGAAATAAATTTGACATTCTTTTCTGTTTGAGTGGCTTTCACGGGCTGCATCTGGGAGGCGGGAAAGGCTTGGCTGGGTGTGCTTGGCAACCAATCAGGCACTGCACAGGGTGAGGATTGGGAAATGGGGGCAGGACCGCTCGCTTCCTGATTCCTGCCTTCCTCCCATCCCCCAAATGGGCCCTGATTTCAGGGAGGAGCCCAGGGACCATGCCCTCCTGCTGGGAGGGCTTGCCTTCCCACTCCTCTTTTTCTGCTCCCTGTCATCTGGGGAGCTCTGTGAGGGCCTGGAACTTGCAGAGAAGGGTCTTTTTTTTTTTTTTTTTTTTGCGGTACATGGGCCTCTCACTGTTGTTGTGGCCTCTCCCGTTGCAGAGCACAGGCTCCGGACGCGCAGGCTCAGCGGCCATGACTCACGGGCCCAGCCGCTCTGCGGCATGTGGGATCTTCCCGGACCGGGGCACGAACCCGCGTCCCCTGCATCGGCAGGCGGACTCTCAACCACTGCGCCACCAGGGAAGCCCCGGGTCTTTTTTTTTAACCTCAAATCCACCATCTAATTGCCTATTCCTTTCCCCCCACCCCCCCTCCACTGTTCAAAACATAGGCTGTGTCCTAAATATCAGGTGAGAGTAGTCCACTATGGGTTGTTCTGAACATTCCTCATTTTGCCTAGAAGCTAGAATGATGCAGGGGTGAGGCATTCAGATTTGTGCAGATTTAGTCCTTCCCCTGCAATATATCCAGCTTTCCCTTAACCAGGGCTGGACTACCCACCTAGCCTAGGGGTGGGAAAAGGGTGATACAGTAAAGTAGCCTCACCGTGGGAGGGAACAGAGTGAGAAGCCCTACTTTGTGCTTTGAAACATGAAGACAACACTATGCTTTACCCCCAGGTAACCCTAGAAATCCTTCCTGACAATGTTTTTGGAGGCTTCACATCCTCAGAAGCTGTTCTAATGGCCCAGCAGGGCAGAGGGGAGGAAGCCTGGGTCCTGGAGTCTGACATCCTCAGGGCTGCTCCTCTATGGAAAGACCAGCGCCCTCTAAAGACCCCGGGGGAGGGTTGCTGGGTGTGCTTGCATCAGGCCTAAGTGGCTTCATGTGTACCATTTGGGCCTCATGCCCATGGGTCACTTAAGCCCAGTGGGTTCAGGTTCTGGGTTCTCAGGAGCCAGCTGCGGCTCCCATGGCCCTGGACACTGGGCCACTTCTGGGCGGCTCCGCCTGCGTGAAGTTCAGGCTGACACTCACGGCTCTTTGATGGCCCTGCAGGGGAGTCCCACAGTGGACTTTCCCTGGCAGCTGAGGCTGCTTCTGGACCCCACATGCCTGCTGGAGCTCAGCAAAGGAGCTAGGGGATCCCTGAAATCCAGGTGCAAATTGGCACTATGATCTCACGAGCAAAGCCCAGCGGGGGACATACTTGAAAGCTTCAATTCGTTCCTATGCTGCAGAGCCACTGACATGGGTGACCCCCCCCCCCATAGTTCTGCAGAGCTTCTGATGCCATCTCAGTAGGGAGCAAGGAACTGGACCAAGGCCCATGACCTCGTCCAGCTCCTCCAGAACCTTGTAAGGTCCTCAGGTGTCTGACGACCTCTGTTCTCTGTCGTGATTCCTAACATGACACTTAAAATGAAGAGCCCGTTTAGCTGCTCAGATGTGAACCGGGCACCTGCAGTGTGCCAGGGCCCGGGCGAGGGGCTAGAACTACGTGGGTGACTAGGGTGCCATGCCTGCCACTGAGGAGCTTACCTCGATGGGGAAAGGCCCTTCGGTATCATGGGAGCGTTCAGAGATAGGAATGCACAGCTCAGGTGTGGGACTGCGTCACCACCCTCACAGGGGAGGGTGCTCAGGGTGCCGGGAGGGGCTCAGGGAAGGACTTGGGGAGCAGGCTACTCCAGAGTGGGGTCTTGGCAGGTAAGCAGGGTTACCTAGCAGAGAAGGCACGGAAGACACCCCTGGCAGTGGGAACACCACCAGCCCAGGCATGGAAAGAACCACAAGTGTGTGTGTCACTGGAGAGCAGGTTGAAGTGGGAAGTGGTCGTTGGGAAAAGGGAGGGGCCGGACCCAAAAGCTGCTTGCGGGCCACACGAAGGAACCTGGGCGTTACCTCAGGGAATCACAGAAACAGGTTTTAGGTGACGTCCAACTGGTATTTTAAAGATACAACTCTTGGGTGCCCGTGTGGAGGGTGGATTGAAACCCCATGCCTCAGGTCCTCATTTGTAAAATGGAGATGATATCTTTCAAAGTTACGTGTAGGGAGAGATTGCCTGAAACACCACGTGGGTTCTTCTGCACACCTCCCAGCCCCATCTCCCAGGGCTGAGGCCACCATGCAGGGTGGATGGAGAAACAGGAGCCCTTGTCTCAGAAAGGCTCAGTCGGTGGCTCAGATCAGTCACAAACATCTGGGAAGAGTCCATGCAGCATTCAGATTCATGGTGAGCATACGCTAAAAAACGGGCCGGCTCCATTTAAAGGGGCCCAACTGGAAGGAAGCAGGGGCAGGTCGGGCTCCCCGGGGGGAAGTGCAGTGGCTCTGGAGGGGCTGGTGCCTCTTTCCGTGCCCTGGAGCCTCAGGGTGATAGTTTTTGCATCTCTCTCAGAATCTACGCAGTTCCTCCCCCACCACCCTTTTTTTGAATTAAATTATTTATTTATTTATTTTTTGCCTGCGTTGGGTCTTCGTTGCTGCACACGGGCTTTCTCTAGTTGTGGAGAGCGGGGGCTACTCTTCATTGCTGTGCACAGGCTTCTCATTGTGGTGGCTTCTCTTGTTGAGGAGCACGGGCTCTAGGTGTGCGGGCTTCAGTAGTTGCAGCACACCGGTTCAGTAGTTGTGGCACGTGGGCCCTAGAGCACGCAGGCTTCAGTAGTTGTGGCACACAGGCTCAGTAGTTGTGTCGCATGGGCTTAGTTGTTCTGTGGCATGTGGGATCTTCCCGGCCCAGGAATCGAACCTGTGTCCCCTGCATTGGCAGGTGGATTCTTAACCACTGCGCCACCAGGGAAGTCCCTAGGCAGTTTCCTCTTTACAGACAGGCATTCTGGTTCAAAACCCAGATTCTGTGACCCCACCCACCACTTGATTTCAATTGTAAGGGTGTGGCCCAGGAACCTGCATCATTGATGAGTTTCCCCAGTGATTCTTCCACAAGCTAAAGTTCAAGGATACTGAGGCAGAGTTCGCCGTGTCCAGCAGAGGACAGGTGAATACCCAGTATAGACCCATGGGTAGTGGGTGGTACACTGGACCAGGCGCCACCCCCCCCAACCTGACAACTGAGGCCAGGGAAGCCCGTCTAAGGGATAGCGACCTGCCCTCCCTCCTCCTGGGCCCACCATTTGCTTTCTGGGGCCTCCTCACTGCAGCAGGGGCAGCCCCAGAGGATCGCCACAGCTGGTCATTGGGGATTCACTTCCAAACTGCTTCAGTGATTTTGTAAAGGGTGGAATTCCTGGCTTCTTTTTCCTTCATCTCACAAAAAACTCCATAATCAGGCAACCCCGACGGGAGGTGGTAAGGAAGGGGCTAGTGTGACCTGAAATTGCTTCAGTTTATTCTCCTTGGAAGCTCAGAATTCCAGCAGCCACTTGAAGCAGTCAATCCTTTCCCTGCACGCTTCACGAGAGAGAAAAAGAGAGAGAGACAGAAGAAGTGAGTGAGAAGAGCTGCGAGTGAGGAAAGGAGAGAGGGTAGGAGGGAAGGATGGAGAGGAAGGGAGAGATAGAGAGATGGAGAGGGAAAGACGATGGGAGGGGAGGGGGAGCAGAGATAAGAGGAACAAGACAGAGGCCCAGAAGAGAGACAGGCGTATTGTGTGCATGCACTCACACATGCTTCTAATGGGAGGTCATCCAGGCCACTCTGCTCGCACTGGTCTGTCACTGCTCTGGTCTGTGGCCGCCTGCCACAGCAATGGCTTAGTGCTGGAACGTCCGTGGCTGTGGAGCCTCCCCTCTGGCTGAGGGCAAAAGCTGCTGACAAATCTGCCTAGAATATCTGAGTTTTTCCAACACAGAAAGAAGAAACATACACACACAAACCAGTCTTATCATATGCCTGGCAGAGTAGCTGGGGATGGAAAAATTCCATAATTGAAATGCAGATGGAGGAGGCACCACTAAACTGCTGGAAAGCAAGACCCACCCCCACCCCCCTTCATGGTGACACCGTTCCAGCAGCCCTCACGTCCCTGATCACATTCCCACCCTGGTTTGCCGTCTTGTCCCCAGGCACTGT